AAATTCCCCCCCCTTTTTTTCTCTTCCCTCTTCCCCTCTTCTCCCCGATGTTTTTTTTTTTATTTGAATCCGAAAGGGAAAGTGTTTGTTTGAAAAAAAAAAAAAAAAAATGGAGCTCGATTATAAGTTTGTAGGCTCGTGGATTTGAGTGCAACGAAAGAAACGTGAATTTTATTACGTTTTATTATTATCATTATCATCATCATTATTATTATTATTATTATTATTATTATTAATTAATATTATTAAAACATTTTTGTTTTTTTTGTTTTTTTTTTTTTTGGGTGCGAGAGTTCAAATTACACGTTTCCGAACACTTCAATGTTTTTTTTTTGTTTTTTTTTTTTTTTTTTTTTTTTTTATTCATTAAAAAAATTGTTTGAAGCTTTCAATGAATGTTTCATCATCACTATCATCATCATCATCATCATTTTAAAATAATAATCTTAATCAAGTTAATTATTAAATAAGTCGTTGGCGCCAAAAAAAAAAAGACGGTTTTCTGCCACGTGTATACAAAATCACCTGTCCTTAGCAGGTGAATATCACGTTTTGAACTCGAAATTATTATTATTATTATTATTATTATTATTATTATTATCCACCATTAAACACGACAAGGCTACTTGTCGGAGTTTTTTTTTTTTTAAGTATTTATCCGAGGTTTCTACCCGATTCCTTAGGGACAAATACTCGAATTTCGGTGGTGCCACTTATTATAAGATAGCACCACATCAATTCTTGAAGGTCTTCCTGAGTCCGTCTTTTTCGATGGGAACGATTTGTCTCCTGAACTGGGCTCCGGTGACTAACATCTTTGGAGTGGCCAGGGTCAGAAGCAGTGAAATTCACGTTCTCGTCGAGCTGCCTCAGGTCGACAGTAGAACAAGATTTGTTTTTTTTTTTTGGTTCTTACTTTGTCTTGTTCTCATTTTTTTGCTCTTTTTAAGCCAACAGCACGTGGCGTTCTCAAACGGTCACCCATCCAAGTTTGCACCACGCCCGATGCTGCTTAACTTCGGTGATCGTACGGGAACCGGTGTGACCAGCACGCTATGGCCGTTGGCTTTTATTATTATTATTATTATTATTATTATTATTATTCATTTTCGTGAAACGAAATTAAAAAAAAAAAAAAAAAAAAAAAACTTTTCGTCGTAAATTTTATTATTCTATTATCATCATCATCATTTTCACCTGCTTTTTATTTTCGACGTTGTTAAAGTCCGTAACAATAACAATAATAATAATAATAATAATAATAATAATTGAATTTCGAATAATGGATGATATTTTTATTATTATTATTATTATGATCGTTTTACGTCATTTTTGTAATTTCGATCGTTGAGTACTCGGTGGATTTGCAAATTCACTCTCAGAGCTCTCGGGATTTCGCATTAAAATAATAATAATAATAATAATAATAATAATAATAATAAAAGAAAAAGGAAATAAATTTTTATTGTAAGTGCATAAGCGTGGGAATGTGATCACACCTTTGCGAATTTTCTCGAAAACAAACGGTAAACGTATTAAAAAATTGAAATAACAGTTTTTCATTGTTTTGTTATGTTTAGGGTGTGTCTCTTAAACCGCAATAAAAATAGACAAGGAAATGAATATATATATATAGGAAAGAAAGAAAGAGAGAGAGAGAAAAAAGTGCATTTAATTGGAAAAACCCAAGGTTGTTGTTATTACGGGTACGAGTTATAGGTACTCACGTGCGAGGTTATATGTATATATATCACATTTTGCAAATTACCTGTCTGTCGATATCATTTCATTTGTTGTTGGAAATGCAGTTCGAAAATGTCGAAAACCTTGCGGGAGGAAAAGAGAAAGAGAGAGAGAGAGAGAGAGAAAGGGAGAGAAAACAATAATGAGTGATTACGTTGTTATTACGTTGAGATTATTGCCCGTAAATAATTGATTGTTCACTGCACACGGGGTTTAAAAGGTCACAAGGTCAAATTATTAATTTATTTATTTTTATTTATTTATTTGTTTGTTTGTTTGTTTGTTTGTTTTCATTCGATCTTGAGTTTATAGGTAGGTTGTCGTTTTTATTATTGCGAGTCTTCAAGTGTGTAAGTGCTCGTAATTTATTTAAGACGGTTTAAATTGGGTTTGTTGACGTCACGATTACGTCACGAAAATGAGAAAAAAAAAAATTTCATTCAATTTTTCCCTACTCCGGTAAATTTACTTTTTTTTTAAACGTGCATTTCCGTTTGGACTCGTCAATTTCCGGTTACGAAAAAACCAAGACATGGTCGATGATGCAAGGTCAAAGCCCTTTTCCGTGATTAATGAAAAAGAAATTATAAAATCGTACGTATCGAGAACGAGATATCGATCGATAGATCTCTAATCATCTCGAATATGGAACCGAATCCGGACGTTCGAGTTTTCGAGTTTTGACTATTACGTAATGACATTCATTTCATTCTGTTCCTTTTTGGATTTTTTAACGAATTATCGAATTGGCGTTTAACGATCACGTGACCGGGGGGGATATACTGTTTATAGGAAATGTAGATAATGAAAGGAAGGGAGAAGAAGGTGACGAAAGGAAACAGGAAGTTGTTGTAGTTTTTTCTCCTTCTCCTTCTTCTTCACGGGTTGCATTAAAAAAAAAACTCATGGGGGGACAAATCGATTTCGATCGGAATTTTCCAAAAAAAAAAAAAAAAAAAAATGGCGTCCGACTGTAAACATTTCAATGAAAACTTTACGAAAAAATTTTCACGATTTGAATTTACGTACAACGGAAAAAAATTTTCTTTCTTTTTCTTATTCTTCGAGTTGAATGACCATACTACCTACCTACCTACCTGTTTAAACCGTGTATGCGTGCGTGAGTGCGTGAGTGCGTGCATGCATGCGTGCACTAACAACCGCATTGCTTTTTAATTTAATCCAATGGGGAAATTGATTACTGTAACTTGAGAATGGTCGTCGTGTTACGGTCCTGAATTTGTTGTTGTCGTCGTCGTCGTTGTTGTTGTTGTAATTACGGTCGTCATTATTATTATTATTATTATTATTATTATTATTATTATTATTTATCTCGTGCATTTTCTCTTTCGTGTAATAATTATAAAAAAATTGCACAGTTACAAATGTTTGTTTTTTTTTTTTTTTTTTTAAATGCAAAAGTTAACGTTTAAAAAAAAACAGGTTGGAAAATTAGGTACGCCATTAATCGAATGTTTTTAAAAAAAAAAAAATCTTATAATAATCATTATCATTATTGTAATCGCTGCCATTTTTTTTTTCGTTACGTAATTATATATATTGTACAATTAATTGATCGAACGAAAAAAAAATTTTTTATTTATTTAATTTTATGACGTAGAAATGAATTTCGTATGTGTGCAATATGGAGGAAGCGGGAGGGGGGGGGAAATTAATGTAAACCTGAACCCGAGTTCGAGTTCAAGGTAGAAAATATCCGAGAATGGTAGTTTTATTATTATTATTATTATTAGTACGAACCGTAATTAAGCCGAAGGAAAAAAAAATAATAATAATAATAATATTTACGAGCTTTTTTATTTATAAAAAGTATTTTGCTTGTGTGTGTGTGTGCGTGCGTGCGTGTGCGTGTACTCTGGTAGTAGTAGTAGGAAGTTCTCGAAATGTTTTCTCACCGGTAAACAAACGCACAATTCGCTCGCATTCGAATAATTTATTAATTAAAAGATTTTAAAATTTATGGGTCCGTGCGTGTGTGCGTATGTGCGTGTGCGAGTGCGTGTGCGTGCGTGATAAGAACGAAGCGATTAAACTTCACGGTTGGTCATTTTTCTGCGTTCATCCTCCACGGAATGGTCTCTCTTTTCTTATATCGCGTTGGTTGTCACTGTTATGAAATTATTATCTTTTCGATTCCAGTTTGTTGTTGTTGTCGTGGTTGTTGTTGTTGTTGTTGTTAATTATCCGTGACGCAACTCTCGTAAATATTATTCAAATCCGTTTATAATCATCAATTATCTTATCCGATAATTTCTGATTTGAGTTTTTCCACGACTTTAATTCTTTTTTTTTTTTGCATAACGTTTAAGTTATTAATCTCTTTTCCATTTCATTTTTTTGTTTGTTTGTGGTTGTTGTTGTTGTTGTTGTTCGAAATCGTGGGATTGGTAAAGAGTAGCGGTTGAAGTCTGGGTTCTTTTTTTTTTTTTATTGAAAATAACTGGTCGGTGAAAAGAAAGTTTCAAACGTTGCGTTTGTTTGTGTTTGTTGTTAATAATAATAATGATGATGATGAAAGAACGAATTGAAAAATTTTCTCTGTTGTATAAAAAACTTTCACCCATGGTCTGATCTAATTGCACTTTCCGTTTAATTTTTTTTTTTTTTTGGGGGGGGGGCGGTGGTGCTTAATCGAATCGAACGATATTGATTTGTTGCAACTTTGTCTTCTCTCTCTCTCTCTCTTTCTGTCTATAGTAGAAAAGAATGGCGACAGAAATTAAATTTGTTGCAAGAGTTGTTTGTTGTTTGTTGCATTTTTGTTCGACGTTGTTTGTTGCATTTGTTTTTCTCTCTTTCTAGGTTGTTACAGCTAAAAACGAATCGATTTACTTTAGAAACAAACGTATTAAAAAAATAATAATTTGTTTTTTACGTGCCGTGACGGTAATTACGTACGCTATTTCTTGTTTGTCGTTTGTCGTTTTGTCGTTTTTCCGTAATTATCTTTTTTATTTCAGATCAGCAGCTTTTTTTTTTTACTCTTTCCCCCCCCTTTCTCTCTCTCTCTACAAAGCTCTTTGTTTTATCTTTTAATGCACACACACAAACACGCTCACACATGAGAAATTTAATTGTTTTTTTTTTTTATGTAAAGCAAAGCCAATGATTTGAGTTGACGACGACGACGACAATGATGATGATGATGATGATGATGATGATGATGATGATGGAGGAATGAAAAAAAAAAAAATGTTTGATTTTATTTTGATTAATTAGTTTGATTTTGTTCGCGGATGGCGCTGATGTCGGTGGTCACGGGTTAAACATTAACAATCCCCCCCCCCCTGGCTATCATGACCATTTTTCATTTTGATCGTAACTAATATTATTATTATTATTATTATTATTATAATACTTTTTTTTCTTTTTTTATAGGGCCATCAAGTCATTTCAACAAGTTCTTTACGTCGAGCCTGGTTTTTCTAGAAGCAATGAAGTTCATCTTCGTCTCGGTCTTATGTTCAAAGTTCAAAATGACTGGGAAAGTTCATTGAAACATTTACAACTCAGTCTGATTGATTCGAGTCCGAGTTCTTTTTCTAAAGTTGAAAGTAAGAAGAACATTCTAGAAATTTTTTTTTTTTTATTTTGATTTAATTTAATTTAATTTTATTTAAAAAAACGCGGCGTTTTTTGATAGATTTTCTCACGGAATTATAATCGACCGCGTTGATGTTAGTCACTAACTGTAATTTATAGAGGAGACATGCAAGCAACCTTTTCTCTTTCTCTCTCTCTCTCTCTCTCTCTTTCTCTTTCTTTTTCTTTTTCTCTTTCTCTTTCTCTTTCTCTCTTCGACACTAAAAATGTAATTTAACATTTCCAAAGGTAATCATTTTGGAATTTTTTTTTTTTTTTTTTTTTACAGTTTTCTATCCCCCACACGCAGGTATTTACCGCCGTGTCATTATTTATTAAAGCCCCCCATCATCTCCCTCCCTCCCTCTCCCCCTCCCGGGTTTAGTGAAATCGATAAATCGTGTACGTAATTTTTAACGTTGGCTTTTGTTTTTGTTTTAAATGAGCGAAAGAAAGGAAGAGGAGTCGTCATTATTATTATCATTCTGTTATTCTTTAATATCATCATCATTATTATTTCTGTATACCTATGATAAAATTCGGAACCTTTTTATTTATTTATTGTATTTAAAATTACGCAAGACCGGAAGGAATTTAAAAATTTCACGATCTGTAGAGATTACGTCGCGTATTAATAATAATAATAATAATAATAATAATAATAATAATAATAATAATATATGTTTATATCATTTTATTAATATTATTATTATTATTTATTTATTTTAAAAGGGGATTAAAAGGTATTAACGACGAACGTAATCACTTTTTAAGGCATCCATTTCATTACGAAACGTGTAAATTTTTTTTATTTATTTATTTTCTTGTGTGTGTGCGTGCGTGCGTGCGTGCGTGCGTGCATGTGTGTCTTCGGGTAAAGAAAATTTAATTTGCGATCAAAAGAATCGGGGAGGGGGGGGAAGCGGGTCGTTTTCCAAATGTTTCTTTTTTTTTTTCTTTCTCTCTCTCTCTTTCTCTCTCTCCTGTTGGTTTTCGGTCGATTGTTGTTTTCATTACGCACACGCAATTTTTATGCGTGAGGGTGCGTGATTTTAACTCCTCTACGATTAAATAATTTTTGTATTTTCTAAATATAATTTACGCAAAAGCAGGGGGTACGAAAAAAAAAAAAAAAAAAAAATCGACGTGGCCGGCGGCGGGACTGCCACGACGACGATGATGTCTGTTTGTTTGTTTGTTTGTTTGTTGGGTGTTTTATATTTATAAATACTCGACGAACGCCATTTTCGTTACGGTAAATAACGGGTTTTAAACGGTGAAGATATGCAAAAAAAATTTAAATTAAATTAAATTAAATTAAATGTCTCTCACGTATAATTTAGCATATACCTATTTTTAACGGAATATTTATTTTCGTACGAAATTTGAATCTTTATTATTATTATTATGGTTGTTGTTTGATTAACGCTTTATTTATTTATGTATTTATTTTCAGTCAAGTTTCACATCGCTCATTTATTCGAAGTCCAAGGAAAGTACAAAACAGCCAAGGATAGTTATGAAAATTTATTAAAAGAAAAAGAATTGCCCAATCATTTAAAAGCTGATATATGTAGACAGTTAGGTGAGTGAGTGATAATATTTTTCCCCCCCCCCTTCTCCCCTGCATTCCCCGAGTCCCCATTGTACGTTTTTCTTATATACCTTTTCAGGATGGATGTTTCACTGTGTGGAATCTCTTGGGGAAAAAGTTTACCGGGAAAATCAAGCGATTGAGAGTTTGAAAAAATCAATCGAAGCGGATTCGAAAAGCGGTCAAAGTTTATATTTGTTGGGACGTTGTTATGCGAGCATAGGAAAAGTTCACGACGCTTTCATAGCTTATAGGAATTCCGTTGAAAAAAGCGAAGGAAACGCGGATACATGGTGCTCGATAGGGTGAGTATGTTTGACCGACGCGAGATGACGAAAACTACCGATGATAATGATGATTTTTTAATTGTTATGTCTCTCTCTCTCTCTCTGTCTCTTTTCAGTGTATTATACCAGCAGCAAAATCAGCCTATGGATGCTTTGCAAGCGTACATATGTGCTGTACAATTGGATAAATCACACACGGCTGCTTGGACTAATTTAGGTAAATGTTTTGTTTTACTTTGTTGGAAATGAGTATTTGGGGTTATGAACGAAATGAAAATTTTTTTTTTTTGTATTTCAGGTATACTTTACGAAAGTTGCAATCAACCTCGTGACGCTCACGCTTGTTACGTAAACGCGACGAGAGGATCGAATAATCAAGACGCGAAAAATAATAATAATAATAATAATAATAATTGTACGACGCATTCCCCGCTGTCGATATCGCCCCGCGGTACGTCCGCCAATTCACAGGGGCCACCAATGAACCATAACTTGACCCAAAGAATTAAATTTCTACAAAGTCATTTGCAAAATTCACCAATGCCAAGCATAACGAGCAAGTATGTGGTTTTTTTTTTTTTTTTTTTTTTTTAACAAGTGTCAAATGAGGTGTAAAAAACTATTTTTTTTTTTTTTTTTTTTTTTTTTTTTTGTGAATAAAGGAGGCAATTGCCATCGATTGAGGAAGCTTGGAACCTTCCGATATCTGCCGAGATGTCTTCTAGGCAACAACAACCACAGCAACAGCAACCATACCATAAAGTTTATCCACAAGTGAGATTAGTTTTGTTATAAAATAAATTACGAATCGAGTTCGATTATTATTATTATTATTATTATTATTATTATTTTGTTTTGAATTTTTAGCCGGGGCAACAGAATAATTATAACAATCAACATCCTAATGCAACTCCTCCGCCTTATCAAACAGGCCCTCCTGGAAACAATAAACGTTTTAAGACTGAACCACCGTCGGGCGTTACACCAACAACGGCGAGGCCTTCATTTTATTTAACCACGCAGCAAATAGAAACAATGGAATATTTGCAGCAAAATGTCGGGAATTTAACAGTTCAACAGCAGGTAAAGAAAAAAAAAATAAAACTTTGTTATAATTGTCAACGATTCAACGTTTTTTATTAATTTATTATTAATTTTTTTTCTAGAATATTCTTCAGCAGTTGCAAATAAATTTCCGAATGATGCAACATCATCAACAACAATTGCGTGCTCAGCAACAGCAATCGCAATCGCATAGAAGTGCCGGAAACGGTACCGGACACCACGTGCCTCCAAATCCTAATCAAAATAGATCTCAGCCTTACGGCACACCTTTCCAGGGTGGAGTTGTGAAAAATTACGGACTTCCAACTCAAACGGTGAGAGGACAAATAATAATATTATTATTATTATTATTATTATTAAAGTAAATTATTTTATTTTGAAAAAATTATAATTTTTTTTAGGGAACCGTTGCACCGCAGACAAATTTTTCCGAACCGTTGAGTAGCAATGCTGCCGTACCCACAACTCAACAGTCTCCTGGTATGCCGTACAAATCGGCCACGACGGAACAAAGTTTCCCCGCTCGTACCAACAACAATTATCAGACAAACGGTCAATTTACCAATCAGTCTTACCAATCTTCGGGTAGTACAACAAACAACAACAACAACAACACACAATCGAATAACTTTGAATTTCCCAATACGGAATTGACGGTGAGCGATCAAGAGTTGACGGCTCTTTTGAGTCAGAAAGACATCGCGACGAGTTTGGCCGAAGATTTACTTAAACATTTTGGTAGCGAATCGAGCGATTTGGACATAAAAGATGAAATTACAGGTGAGCGAGTATGCCAGAGTTTTAAGGTTTTTGGTATTTTCGAATTGTAACGATTCATTAATTAAAATTTTTTAAACAGGTCCTCCCGCTAACTCAGGTACCGGAATCCTCAGTTCGGGTCCATTTTCGCCTTCGAATTTATTAGATAACTCGAATTTAAATTCTTCACTCAAGCAAGAGAGTTCGGGTAAGCAAAGGAGTAGTTCTCCTCCGTCGTCGGGTGGATTGAAAAAGACGTCGCCGCCACCGCCGCAACCACTTCCGGAAATCAAAACGGAAGTTGAATCCTCGGTCATCGAACCCGTGGAAATAAAACAAGAATTCATAGAAAGTCTCAAAGAGGAATCATTTGAATATGAAAATTTTTCGGATAAAGAACCTGAATTAACCATTGATATGCCGGCCAAAAAAATTTTAGAAATATGCAAGTAAGTGACGAGGATCGAGTAGTGTTAATTTTGAAAGGTTTGAAAGGGAAAGGTTGAATTAATATCTCTCTCTCTCTCTCTCTCTCTCTCTCTCTCTCTTTTTGGACAAACAGAGGAATTAGTACAAAATTATCGGGGTCTTGTTCGGTCGTGAGCGACAAGACGCCGCCCCCCGCTCCACCGGATCCTCCTCCTCAAAGATTGACGAGCGAACAACTCCTCCCTCCCACGCCATCCGTTTATTTGGACAACAAAAAAGACGCGTTTAGTCCTCAGCTCCAAGAATTTTGTTTAAAGCATCCGATCGCGGTGATAAGAGGAATGGCCGCCGCATTGAAATTAGGTACGATAATTCAATTCGGTGAGTCGAATGTGGATTTTACATTATTATATTTCACGTACCTGAAATTTTCTCACAACAGATCTCGGTTTGTTTTCAACGAAAACTCTCGTCGAAGCAAATCCCGAACATTCTGTCGAAGTTCGAACGCAAATGCAGCAAACCTCGGACGAGAATACGGATTCTCAAGGTCGTAGAACGTGGGCTTGCATATCGCACAGATCTCATACCACAATAGCTAAATATGCACAGTACCAAGCGTCGAGCTTTCAGGAAAGCCTTAGGGTAGGCTGTGTGTTAAAAATGTTTTTTTTTACGAAAAAGGTTTAACGTTAACGTAATTACTTATTATTATTATTATTGTGTACGTGTAGGAAGAGCAAGAAAGAGGAAGTAACCACGCATCTAATTTATCCGATTCGGATTCGAAAGATTCTTCGAGTAATCACGTGAGAAGGAAAAAAGGTGGTCATTTGGGTGGTTTGGTTAGAGGGATAGGAGAAAGGAAAATGTTGAGGTACGAAAACAAATATGAAAAGTTTTTTCGTTATGTTCGTTCGAACAAAGCATTCAATGTTTGTGAGTGAAACCTTTAGGTTCGGAACCAACGTCGATTTGTCCGACGAAAGAAAATGGCGGCCGCAACTACAAGAACTCACGAAGCTTCCCGCGTTTGCACGTGTCGTGTCGGCGAGTAACATGTTATCCCACGTCGGACACGTCATTCTCGGAATGAATACCGTTCAATTGTACATGAAGGTATCGTTTTAGCACACCCAAATAATAATAATAATCATTCGATCGTAACATTAACGAAAACGTTTTAAACGATGAGTAGGTACCTGGATCCCGAACGCCCGGACACCAGGAAAACAACAATTTTTGTTCCATAAACATAAACATCGGACCGGGAGATTGCGAATGGTTTGCCGTGCCCGATGCTTATTGGGGTGGTATTCAAGCCCTTTGTCAAAAAAACGGTTTGAGTTATTTGCACGGGAGTTGGTGGCCGAGTTTAGAAGATTTGTACAATGAGAACATACCTGTTTATAGATTTCTGCAAAAACCTGGAGATTTGGTTTGGGTTAACGCCGGTTCGTGTTTTACCTTATCGTTTTATCGAGTTTTTTTTTTTTTTTTTTACAAATTCAAATCTAAATTAGTATCATTATTATCAGGTTGTGTTCATTGGGTGCAAGCCGTGGGTTGGTGTAACAATATAGCGTGGAACGTCGGACCGTTAACGGCGAGACAGTATTCACTGGCGATAGAACGGTACGAATGGAACAAACTCCAAAGTTTTAAGAGTATCGTGCCCATGGTTCACCTCTCGTGGAACTTGGCTAGAAATATAAAAGTGTCCGATCCAAAATTGTTTCAATTAATAAAGTAATAATAATAATAATGATAATTAATTGGGGTTTTTTCTTTCTAAAATGTTTGATTTTGATTGTTTGTTTGTTTGTTTGTTTGTTTGTCTTACAGAAATTGCCTACTAAGGACGTTAAAACATTGTTATATAATATTAGAATTAGTTAAAAGTAAGGGAATAGAAGTTAGGTTTCACGGTCGCGGTAAGAATGAGGCATCGCATTATTGCGGACAGTGCGAAGTAAGTAGGAAGCACGAAATTCCCCTCCCCCGCCATTCCTCCCGCCCGCACTCCTTCCCGACCCGAGTCTCATCATCATTATTATTATTGTTTTTAAGGTTGAAGTTTTCAATATATTGTTCATTCGCGAACAAGAGAAAAGGCACGTGGTTCATTGTATGGATTGCGCGAGGAAACAATCCCCGGGATTGGAAGGTTTCGTTACGCTAGAAGAATATAAAATGTCCGACCTGTGTCAGGTTTTCGATAATTTTCAATTACATCCCGTGGTAAGTAATGTTTAAAATTTTTTAACCTTTTTTTTTTTTTTAACAAACCGGGATGAAAAGGGATAAAAAGGGATTGCTTGTTTGCTTATTATTACTTGCTTGCTTTAAACGATTTTTTTTTTTTTTTTTGCGCGCGCAAATCGTTTTTAAATTATTTATTTATTTATTTTATTATTATCATTATCATTAACAACCAAATTGTTTGCTTTAATGGTGTTTTAAAAAAAAAAAAAAATGTTTTTTAGTGGAGGTGAATGTCGGCACTTCTTATGGTTTAGGAGAAATTAAAAACACAAATCGGGAAACAAATTAACAAAAAGGGAGAAAGGAATTATTATTATAAATTTAAAAAAAAAAAAAAACAGGAATAGGGAATGCAGTTGTTGTTGTTTCCCTCGCACGATTTTTCTTCCTGTTTTGTTCTTAACGGGGATTTACGTACGAAAGAGAGAGATAGAGAGAGAGAGAGAGAAAGGAAACATTTCATCATCATCATCGTCATCACCATCACCATCACAATAACAATAATAATAATGATTAACGTCGTCGCCGTCGCCGCCGTCATCATCATCATCATCATCATCATCATCATCATCATCATCACCACCACCACCACCACCACCATCATAACTAGAATCATAATAATAATAATAATAATTCAATAACATTTAACAAAAAAAAAATATTAATTATGTGATAAGACAATTACGATTATTATTATTATTATTATCATCATCATCATCATCGCGGCAGGGTTTTATATTACACTCATATATATCCATTCATAAAATGAAAGAATGAATTAAAGTGAGTGAGAGAAAGATAGAAAAAGAAAAAAAAAAAAAAAGAGAAAAAAGTTTGTTACCATTACAATCATTCGTTCGTTTGTTCGATTCGATGGTTGTTGTTTTTAATTTTATTTTCGCGCGTCATTAATCACGTGACTTTTTTTATTTTTTAATTTTCCTATCACGAGTACAATTTAGTATCAATTTTCTTTTTTCTTTTTTTTTTTTTTTCTGTCTTCGTTTCGCTCTTTAAAAAATATATATATATATATTTTGTATGTACATGTATATAAAAAAAAAAAAAAAACGGGGGGGAAAACATTTTTTTTTTTTTATCATTATTATTATTATTTGTAACTATATAAATTGATTGATTTTTTTGTTTGTAGCAATCACCGATAGCAAATCAAATCTCATGATGTTGGTCAAATTTAGTCAATGAACAAAATAATAATTTTATCAACGA